AATGATCTGAAAAAAAATCTGGCTAAAACTCCTCACACAGAAATTCAGCTCAGTGCAGACCTCTAGCAGAGTCTATTGCAGCTTAAATGATTGGACTTTGTCAAAGTTACTTACAACTGAGATACGTTCATAAAGTGAGAACAGTAGGGTAGCCTTGATGATAAGCATTAGTGACAAATGGAGTTTTGTGTATAATAAGAACCTGGTCTTTGGGATTTCCCTCGCAGCTGTGGTTACCACAAACGGAAATTGCAAGCCGTGATTCTTGTAGTGTCCTTCCTGTAGAAGGGCAGAGCCTTCTCTTCCAGGCCTCTCTCTTCACATATGGAGTAGCTGCAGAAAACTCCCAGTCCAGCTCTCAATTCCCCCCAGAGACATCGTTTAGTAGCGTTATCAAATTCAGAATACAGAGTAATGGTGGTTTGGGGCTCTTCTCTGTGTATGTAGTTGTTTATAAATTACATTTCAATACTTAAACTTCAAAAGGCCTAATTCTTCTCAATAATCAATTTTGAGTTTTCTCAACATTTTGGCCTCTATGCTGCCAAGCTATTGCTTTAGTAATAGTAAAAAAAAAAAAAAATAAATGTTGAGCTGTTAAGCAAATGAATTTTATTTATAAATATTGTGCATTCCCAGCAAAATTGATAAATCAATATTAAATCAGAGGGAGACCTTATCTTGCACATTTATTGCCTGGATGTCTTGTAACAAAAATTGTACCTCTTTACAGCATGATGGCTGCCACCAGGCTTTGTCTCAGAAATGCCAACTGCGGTTAGAACTTCTCCAAGAAGCGTTTCACCATTTCTTTTCAGCCACAAAAAAAGAATTTATTCCATTTGTATCTGAAGCACTTTCATAGTTCTGGACCATGCAGATGAACACGGTTTTTCTTCAGGCAAAAAACTGACAAGCCCCTGTGAACAAGATGTTTGGAGAAACAGCCTATGCATTTTGCATTATTGAAATGTGATCTGGAATTATAGAATACCAATATCTCACCAGGCAGTGATCTTCAATTTCCCTGTTTTTTCCATTTTTCTCATGTTTTCATTCCTCTTTTTTGCCTGTAATCCTCTCTTGCGAGTTTTGACTTGAAGAAATATTTAATATTACTGCTAACATGTGAGCATAGCTTAAAAGGTATTAGCAATCTGTATGGGAATTGTATAGGTCCACAATTTATCTCCTAAGGTGCATTTTTCCTGATATTTAGGTCTGTCGTAATTATAAGTTATATTTTTTTGCTTTATGTTACTTTTTTTACCTTGTGATATTTAGCTTGAAGCATTTGGAAAGAAATGGAAATAAACAAAAATTCATAAAATGAGCTGCAGTCTGAGCCTGTCCTCTGAAGTAGGCCAGCATTAAACTGGTCCAGGATTGATGAAGGAGAGCTGCATTAGATGAGAGTGGGAGGACTAAAAGTAATTTCTTTCGCTGTCAATTCTATGGTAATTCAGCTCTTTCAGAAAACTCCCAGTAAGACTGCTTTTTGCTAGTTTAGTTTACTCTGGAAAACATCTTTTCCTTCCTACATATGCAGTCTGAAAATTTTAGAGGCAGATTAGGTTTTTAAATGATTTTTAATACACATCAAAAGTGTCAGCGGAATTAGACTAGGCGCTGTAGCCACAACATAGGTGATCGACAGGTAGCGGCATTTTGTGCCACATTAATACCCTTCTGCCAATGTATAGGAAGGGCCAGGTCTAAAGAATAATATAGCCTCTGTATTCATATCAGGTCTGTCTCTTACAATGACAAAGCAACTCCAGGACTGCTCTGTTTCTTCTCTGATTTCCATTTGTTTCATGAGCGGAGCTCAGTACTTTTGTGTTGCTTCGCATGCTACAATATTAGTGGGTTTAGTGCAACCACAACGAGCATGTTAACTCCCATTGATGAATTTTGCTATAGATATGAAGTGTGATAGAATAGATTTTACTCTGGCCACCAATGTGTGTTTATATGGCACTAGGTGGTTGCCTTTGCCATTAGGGGTTATGAAGCTTGGCTGGTATGATTATGAAGCTTGGCTGGTATGATATGAAAGACAATAGCATGGAAAGGCTTGTTTTATCTTCTTGATTCCCTCTTCCCTTGCATTGGGTGGCCCCTCATAACCAGAATTTGCTGTCATCCATAAAGAAATCTGAAACTCATACTAGATATAGGGAAGCAGAGCCCTGGGAGGTTTGCATGCACGTCCCTTCTGGATACTAATTTACAGCCAACAACAATGACTGTTAGGTCTGTGGCACTTTCTCATGGTAATGTTAATAGAAAACCAATGAATATTGCTCTCCTGAATTATTTGCTACCCTTCTGCACTGAGAAAATGTGTACGTTTGAACTGAAAGAAAACTCTGGACAAAGTTTTATTGCTAGAAACAAAATTGGATGAAAGGAGTGAAGAGGTTTCTTAAGGTGAGCTGTCATGGTGTGGGAAGTGTTACAGCAAACAGTACAATAGAACAAGACTGTATCACATTAAGTCTCCTAATAGATGCCAAAGAAATGATACTGTGGCAGTAAAAGATCGCCTTTGATTTTTGTTTCTTTCTTTCTTTTACTGGGAGAGGTGGAGTAGCCTGCCTGTACTGCTTAAAAATCATGTATCTATGTAGCTGTAGTGTCAGTCCTGCTTTAGAAAGGATGGTTTAAGAAACATCAGTGCAAAGATTTCAGAGTAGGTGCAGGAGTGATGAATTGCTTTCATATGTGTTTTTTGTACATGTACTTGGATGCAAGCTTTGTCCTCAACCTTCTGTTATTCACTGCTGATATACAAGGTGCAACTGTGAATTAAGAACAAGACCTCACAAACACCTGAGCGAACTAAAAGCACTTGGTATGACCAACACTCACAGTTTTTTACAATCTATTGTTAACATGAGTGTTAGAAAAGCAAATGTGAATAGTGGGGACAACCTTACCTTTTTCCTTTTTGGAAAACTGCACCATATAAACAGTAGAGGAGTGCTGTGGCTGAGGGGTCTGTGATGGTTTTCATGGTCACTTGTTGCACAGCATCCTCTCTTGAAAACTGAAAGGCAGGTGTGTGAATTTCAGTGATCCTGTCTTTCCATGACATTTCATTTCAATAAAAAAAATGTGAGAACTTAGTTTTATTCATTAAGCTGAAAATGAAAATGCAGGGAGGTCCAGGAGAACATTGACTGCGTCTCTGTCACTCCACCTATTTCATTTTGAATATGAAGATTGTCTGCAGGGATTGGCACCTGAAATTTAAAAGGACAGAGTCTCTATTCTGATAAATTGATATAGCTGTCCGCTCTTTTCATGTTATTACAAATCATTTTGAAATTAAGTATTCCAAAGACATAGCAAAAACTTGTAAAGTAGAAATAAGCTATTAAAAATAATTTAAAATTTATGTAGGACAGAAAACCAAATCATCAGATGTTGAAGTTAATCTTCAAGAGTCCTTATACTGAAATAATATCTCCCAATCTGATCGGTAGATTCTTATTTAAGGTAATTACATGGCATCTTGGAAATAAAAGGACATTTACTCCCTACTGCTCAGGTCTAATATAGGTTTTGTCTTTCAATACTGGAATTCTTAAACGACAAAGGATTTCAATACTTTCATAGAACAAAAATGTAAATGAACGGAATCAGCTATTATTTCACATATGGTACAACTCCACATCACCAAAGTAGGAAAAAAGCTTTACATTCATCTTTTTTGTATGGTGACGCAGAGTTCCCAATGATTTGTATCAGTAGGACAAACTTCTGAACAAAGAGTAAGGTGATCCTTTATATTCAAGCATTGATTAAATATCTAGTTTGTGTACATAATTGAAAATTATTTGTACTTGTAATCGCAATAATTGTAATTTGTATTCCTATTAAACCTACGTGCTGAGGTTTTTACACAAGTGAAGATCCAGCACAAAATACTTACAGATGACTGAATCTGTAAGCAAGTGGTTTTGCTTTTGAAAATCACAGCTCTTGTACCATCATAAGATTTTGCATCCGAGAAAGCTACCTCAAAAATAGTGACAACTTTTCAAATTGTTGTGTACAGGGGGAGAGGAAACGGGTGAACATCTTGAGTTGTTGACTGCGGGTGGTTGCAGTATTCATCTGCCCACCCCTAGTTACTTGTGTCTGCAACAAAGCTTACACTACAGGAAGAAAAAAGGTATTTTTAAAACACTGAACTTTCCTTCATCTAAAGATCTGTGGTTCATATGTTTTTAACTGAAGGAGTTCTTTCAAAGTCTCTGAACTAACATGTTTTGGGGCAGGTATTTGAATATAAAATAATGCCTTTCATGACTTGCTAAACCGGACTCTGTTCACACAAGTGGTGGTGTGCAGCTCAGATCCTGGTAGGTTTAGTTGCTGCTAATGTTTTGTTTACATGGAAGTTGAATTTTGAAGGAAAGCAACTATAGGAATACAAAACAATTTTGTGTTCTTCTTCAGTACGTGTGATTTTTTTTTCCTGCATGTCCAAGTTCACTTGCAGCAAGTTGTACACACACATATGGTTCTCATGAGCATCTGCCCACCTACAGAACTGTGAAAATAACTGGGTTTTGATGAGATTTTTTTAATGTTATGATCTCAAGAAGGCAAGAAAAACTTAATTAAGGTTTGTAGATAAAATCTTTAAGGAAAGAACATTGTAAGAATTTATTTTTGCTCTTTTTGTTTGGAGATCTTGAAGTCTTTTTCCATTACTGGACAGGACTGGCAGATGAATTGCAATTAAAGGCACAATAGCAAAAGAGATTAAATACAGTCATGATAGCAGATAGTGTATGGGCTTCCTTCAATACTTTTCATTGCATAGAAGCTGTGGCTCCAAGTGCTGCTCAGTTTACTAAAGCAACCTGCTTTAGTGGAATCCTGCTGTCCTTAGGGACTAGTTCTCCTCGATGATTATATGCGCAATGAGGATTTGGGTTTCCTGATGCCAAATGAAAACTCTTGCTTTTCCTTCTTCCCCACAGGAGGAGAGGTTCCATACACAACTCTGGCAACCCGACTGATGATGGGAGCTTGGTGGCTTTTTGCTTTGATTGTCATCTCCTCCTACACAGCAAACCTAGCAGCTTTCCTCACCATCACACGCATTGAGAACTCCATCCAGTAAGTTGATAAAAAATGAATTGAGGGAAAGGAGAGTTCTACCTAATTATGTGAAAAAGAGAAATTTTTATCATCCTGAGAAGTATTTTGGAAGTAAAAAAATTGCTATGTACCACAAACTCCAGTCTCCCTGGAGACACTTTGTCTTTAGGATGAGAATTTTTGGCCTCTGGCAGATACTCTTCTGTGGCACAGATGAATACATACATATGCACACATACATATTTTGAAAGAAGCACTTCAGTTTAAAATAACCATTGTATCATTATTTGAAATGGGAAAATATAAATTGTTGCTTTGTGTTTTCAGGTAGTGCTTTCCATTCAAATACATCCCACAGTACTTATACTCTTTGCTCAGGAGAAGCCGAATGCTTCTTCAATGTATGGGGAGCTCAAAGCTGAATTCACCTTTTCTTGCCAAGGCAAAGATGTGTTAATCACAACAAACAATAAAAATTCACTTACTAGTCATCTTTGCCACTTCTGCTCCCAGGTGCTCTCTTACTAAGTTAACAGATCATATTGTTCTCTTATTTTTCCTGTCTATTGGTTCTTTTGCTTCATAACTCCCTAAAGTGAATGTCCTTGTCTTTTCCTGTTCCTTTCGTGATGAACTGTTTTTCTGTCACACCTGCTAATCTATTTTTCCAGATCATATCTCTTTATATCACAGGAACCTTTCTAAGTCCTCTCACTCTGTTCTTTTGTTCTCCAGTCCCCTTTCTTTCAGCAAGCTGCATGCTAAGTTATCCTTGCTCCCACTGCTCCAGTGACCTCTCCCACCCCCAAACCCTTCCTCTTGCATCAAAGCCGAGACTAGAAATTACAGTGAAGCATTAGCTGGCCAAGCACTTCAAGGGGCAGATGGCCATTTTCCCATAGCAGGTTTTTAATCTTGAGGCTACAAATCTATGAAACTATGTGAGAATGACAAAGTTAGCCTTTCCCATAAATCCCTCTTTGCAAAAATTATAGAGTGGCTTTAGAGAAGAGAGGCACATTCCCTTGTATTTCTTCTGCCAGAAAGATAAGAACCTGGCCTTCAAGTAAGGCTCAATGTTCAGTTTTCTCACTCCAGGTGTTGATTCAAGTCCCTGTCTGCTGTATATCATCCCCTACCTTGCCTCTGGTTCAGCTGCTTTCCAGATCTCTTCAAAATGCCCCATGAGACAGTGAGCCACTAGTGTAGACTGGGCAGGGGGAGCCTTGGCCTCCTGTGAATTCATAGGTTAGGTTCAAACATCACTGCATGCCAGCCAGTCACCGCACTCTCACTAAGGCACTTAGCTTCTAGGTGAGGATTTCTACATACTAAAACCAATCCAGACTTCAACAGCACATGGAAAAGTAAATGTCAGCAACAGCAGAAGAGTTTTATTTCCAATTGGAAGCCGAAGCCCAGACCCAAGAGCAGAAGCAGCCCCTTACTTTGAGTGCATGGTTATCACATGACTGTCCCCATTAGGGGCATCCTCTTGCACTTCATAAACCTTTTCTCCCTGCTCCTTGGGTGATGGGGGAGGAGTTAGTGCCCTGTGGCCTGAAATGCCCAGACATTAGTAGTCCTTATTTGTTCTCAGTTGGAGATGAAGTATCTGTGGTCCTTATCCTTTCTTTCTGGGCTAACGACTTCAACACTTTCATCTATTAGAGATCTAAGCACCATGCCAAACATGTAAAACAGGGAGGCTTTTTTGGTTTTTTAAGTTTAAAAACTACATTTGACTGAGGAGCATGAAGAAACAGCATGGGAATTTGTACATGCAAAATAAATAATAATGATATATTCAGTCATTCAGTTTGTCCTTACAAATATGAAATATGCTTCTGCATCCTGCTTTGAAATCATGTCCCTTCTAGTTTTCAATAGTCCGGAAAAATGTTCAAATTACTGTGACAAATGTCTGAGTTTTCTTGTCATGTGTAAAAAAGAATAAGATATGCCCAAACTATAATTTAATACATCTTCAGCTTTTTCTTGCAGTTTATTATGATGTCACTAGAAAACTCCCAGTGGGATTCTGAGATTATTATGTACAGTTGGGACTACATTGGTCTTTGTGCTGTATTATTTATGGGCAAAGTCACTGAAAATGTTTTATTCAGTAGAAAACATTGCAGCTGGAGAGCTCCTGGAATGAAAGAATGGAGACATTTTTCAACAGCTCTTGCAACTCTAAAATAGAGTAATTAGATGTGTTAAGTATCCATTAGGGAATGAAGTTATCCTAACTATGGTGGGAGTGTAAAACTTCAGTTTACAAAACTGCCAAAATTGGGATTCAAACCAGCACATAAGGGAGAGGCTGTTTGTTTACCATGCTGAATTACTGCAAAGTGGGAGACATGAATAAGCAATAAAGAAAAAAGCTGATGCTCTTCTCTTTTTTTTTTTTTTTAACAGATCAAATTGTACCTTGGGGAGCTTTGAAGGCCAGAATGGAAATGAGTTTAAGTATTTAAAGAAAATAAACCAGATTCTGCTTGTAGTGCTATCCAGCCAGCTTCAGAGAAGTCAGAAAAATGAAAGAAATTGAAGTCAGTGGGTTTGCACAGATAAAACAAGTAGTTAATGGGTTTCCATTTCAGATCTCCAGCTAGCAGCAGATATTAAAGTGCGTTGTTGAAGGTACTGTCCTTGTGGTATTTTTTATGAAAGATAGGAGGATTCAAGCAGCCCACAGCACATCTCATTGCTGTGAAACATTTAGGAGTTACTGCATTTCAGCTTTTGGATGTGTAGCCAGTTTGTGTTGGGAGCTCTTGCATCTTCCCTTTCTCAGCTGGTATGAAGGTTGAGCCACTCTTCCTAGTCAGTGCCTCATGGTATCCAGAATCTTATTTTGAGAAGAAAAGCATACAAAATGTTGTTAGGCAATGCATTAGGGAGGACTAGTGAAATGTTCCCTTTGCCTACAGAGTCCTGAAGTAGAACCTTACTGTCTAACTTCACTTGATGGTACTGGTTCTCTGCCTCACTGATTGATTTGGATCAAAATGTTACAATTAAATAAACTTAGAGGAACATGAAGAATAAGAGTGGATGCTGATCTCCTTTTCCAAGCAAATGGCTACCCTTAATAACTTTGGGAGCTCAGCTTTTCATCTTCTGCCAACAGCCAGTATCAGCAGTAGAAGCATGCAAGTCATAAAGTAGTTCCTAGATGCATCTTTTGTTCACACCTGACTCACATTGCAGATGACATTTAAATCAAGACAGTCAGCCTTTCAGATGTCAAAACATCGTGGCAGCAAAGCAAAGCACGATTTCTGTGTTCCTTAAATCTTTAGAACAGTGTCTCAAATGCAACATGAATTGATAATAAGAGTAGCTCTTCTTGGTAAATGTTAAATAAATTCGGAGGTCTTGAGCTATTTCTCATAGGTGCTGATGCTGTGAATTTCATCACTGAGCCAGTATTGCCATTATTGTGGTTTATGATGCCTTTAGGACAGAATTAGAGTCCATTGGCAGAGAGACTGATTTTACTCAGACGTGCATCGCACAGTTTTCCTGGGTAAAGGAAGAGTGTCACCACCTTCTCACAGGCCTCAAATTTTGCAGGAAAGTTCAGGGGCTGAGGCGGGCAGAGGGGAAGTCAAAGGATTTTTCATATGAAAGGCAGGAGTTAGGTGCCCTAATCAACTTCTGAAATTGCGGAAGCTATACACATTATGGGGGGAGAATCTGCATCTTGTGTCTTCTGTAAAATAATTTCTTGTTACGTTATCCATGTTATAAGTATTATGTCCTCTTTGATAGGTGAGATCTCTGCCTCCAAATAATGGAGGCATAGCAGTAAAGCATGTCTTTTGTTATCTTTGTTTTCCCTAGTCATTCTTTTCACAACATTTTTCCTAGACGGTAATTCTCTTGAAGCTAAGATGTCCCCAAGGCTTTAAAGAGCTCAATACAACTGCCTACAAGTTTTCTGCAAGGGGGGTTACACAAGAATGCAGTAATTGGAGTAGATATTTACTTACACTGAAAAACAGAATGTTCTTTAACCTTTACTTTAATGTAGTTCACCCAGATCTTCAAACTGGCTAGCAAGCAGTATTACCAGTTTCTGATACAGCTGTCGCTGCCAACAGTCAAATCTCTTGGCTTACTGTGCCCTGTTCCCTCGGCCTGCCTGTGAGTCAATCTTTAATGTCCTACAAAAAAGAAAAAAGAAAAAACATTGGAGAGCTTTATCTGAATTAGTCATAAATAAAGGCTTCAGTATAAGTCATGACATAAATTATTTTCTCCTAAAATTTAGTGACTACTTCTTGCAGACAGTTCTGTGCAACAGCCAAGTCTAAAAACACATCTAGCCTAAATTGTTCTATAATCCATTTCTACAAAGATATTTTGATGTCAAAGACCTTGACCTCAGTGGCATTTAATCACCTAAAAAGTAATTTGTTTATTCTTTTATGGAGCTGACCTTTCGTTTTTCTACATTTTCTATGTGCTTTTTAAACATTGTTGGCTGACATACATGAACAACATGTTACCAATTCTCAGTCTAGGATTTGAATTTAGAGAAGAGGGTATGCTTTGTGAAAAGAAGAACAAGCAAATCCTAATAAATTTTTGGGGTTTTTTTTTAGTTGAAAGCAGAGATCGTTTTTTAAATTGCAAAATAATTCAGTTGTACTATACCAGAAAATGAAAGTGACCTGACAACTGCTGCCTGATTAAGGTGCAGAATACAAAACAAAATCAACAAGTGTTGAAAAATACAGGTAGCCATTAATAATTCATCCTCAAATAGCTCAATTCATCCTCAGAATAGCCCTATATTGTAGTTAATATGAATGGGATAATATTGGTATTATCCCAGTCATTGCAATGAGAAAAAAAACTTGCCATAAAGACCACACATAACATTTTTCCCCACAGTGCTTCATGAGTGATAACCAAATAGGAACTGAACTCTGACTTGACTGCATGGTCACTTTCGTGTAAGTAGAATCCTTCTGACCACAAGCTCAGTTAAAGGTCTCTTATTTTATAGCAGTTTTTCAACTATATCTGCTTTATTATTATTATTATTATTTTTAAACACTTTCAGCATTCATTACGCTATTGCTTCAAAATTAGAAATCCAAAGAGATAAATGTTTTAATATGTGGGATTATAATCCTCTTAGTCGTGTTAGATGTGTGCTTTGCTTTGCAGGTATTCCAACTGCGATCAGTAGAATTGTAACAAAATAAAATTCCCATCCAGTGTGGATAACAATATCAGAATTTGGGCATCAAAGGATACCCTGTAGGAATTAATCATTTTGACAAATACTTTTTCATTAATTTGGGATCTGGTTTGACACAGTGAGGCTGGGGATTTATGACTCCACTACATGTGTGTGTCTGAACAGAAAATGAGTTGTTTAATCCAGGAATAAAGGTACATCAAACAATGTACAACCTACAAACCAGGCTGGAGGCAAAGTAGTTAGAAAAATTCTTTCTTCTGGAAAAGGATCCTCAATAGTTTAATAATTTTATTAGTTCTGTCAAGGTTTGTCATTTCTCTTGGTTTTGCTGGACCTTGGCTGCTAGGTTGTGGATGCCATTCCAGTAACCTGCAGAGTTGCAGGCTATAAAAGACCGTTTCTGAAGGAGGTCATATATCTTATGATCCCATCTGACATGTTTGTGTGAGGGGATGAAATCATCAATGTGGTAGGTCTTTTCCATGTTTGCAGCTTGCCTACACAGCAGCATGCACACATGTACATCTCAGAGGCTGCAAAACTTCTTCCGTGCTCCTTGGCGTAGGGCCAGGTGAACCAAAGTGTGATGTTTTCTGCTGGCAAGAGTGTTCAGCGCATCTGTAGAGTTTACACTTCTACTTGCCTCGCTCTTGTCCTCTCGCCATTGTTTTCTCAGCATAGAGCATTACCTACAACTGTGCAAAGATGCAGAGCGAGGCAGCCGAAAGGCATTGTATGTTTCAGGGTAGCACACCAAAGAGTAAAGAATTGTAGACTGTAGTTAATGCCAGACTTGGCAGCTACAACATGCCTTCCTGAAGGCATCGACATAATTCTCCTCCTTGTTATTTCCCTGCTGGTGTTGCTTTTGTGTGTAATGGCACTCTTGCTTGCTTCTTAGACTGTTGGTAGTACACTTCCTCTACCTGATTGTAGTACAATTCTGGGCTAACAGCTTGTGTCTTGCATTGGTTTGCCTTTCTGAAAATAGCAAGGTTGATCTTATAGCTCCAAGATATACAGGGGAGCGCTTTTTTTTTTTTTTTGTACTGTTTCTAACTGTACTGTTTTGTGGCAGCAGGTACACATATCACTTATATACCAAGTAGCAATAATTTTTCAGAAAAATGCTTTGTCTTTTGTTACATTAAAAATTATATGGCTATACAGAGTCTTCCAAAGTAATGATTGCAGTTTTGCTAGGTGTTGTCATTAGAAATCGGAGACTTATTAAATAAGTCTCTTTTTGCATGCTTTTCTAGGAACTTGTATGACAAATAACACAGCAATTATAGGACATTACAATATGCATCCTGGGGCAGTTTGTTGCACTTCAGAGTGCTTCCAGGAGATACAGAATTGTATTGTCAGCGGCAGCAGCAGTAACACAGAAAGGTTGAATATAGTATCTTGCATTTGTATCAAAATGCAAGTGTCAAAAGTATCAGTGATGCTTTTGACAGATAGATAGACTGTCAGTGCAACAGTAATACACCTACTGCTACACAACACTGCCTGCTGGTGAAACAGGGAGAAATTCTCACTGAGGCCCACTGCTGTCTGTCAGAAAGCCTTTCTGCAGAGCTGCAGCCTGGGTTGTTGCAGGGGGGTCATTCCTCCCCAGGTGCAGGGCTTTTCATTTGTCCTTGCTGAATTTCACACCACTCCCGTGAGCCCATTCTTCCAGCCTTTCTAGGTCCGCCTGAATGGCAGCCTGTCCTTGAGCAATTGACTGATCCCTCAAGGTCATGTCATCGACACACTTGACAAGAGGCTGCTTACTCACCTCCTCCAGGTTATTGGCAAAAGCATATCCCAGGTTAGACTTCTGTTGTACCTGCTACCAGCCTCCAAGTGAGCTACCCTGTAAGCCTGATATGCCATCTAGTTTCCCACCCAGCCACTAATGACTTAATTTGGATACAAGGATATTGTGGGAGACAGTATTGAAAGCCTTGCTAAAGTTTATGTAAACAATATCCATTTCTCCACAAGCCATTTACTGTCGAAGGCAACCAGATTGACCAAGTATGACTTTGGTAAATTGATATTGAGTGTTCCAAGTCAGCTGCTTCTTGTTCTCAGAAGTGTGCTGGGAAGACTCACTCCATGATGTTGGATGACCAGCCTTAGTTCCACAGATCATCTTTCTTATCTTTTTTTGATATAGTCTGGATATTTCCTTTCTCCAGTGGTCAGGGATCTCCTCCTCCTCTTCACCTTTCAAAAATTAAAGCAAGCAGCCTTGCAAGGACATTGGCCAGCTCTCTCCGCACACTTCAATGTAGCCTGCCAGGACCCATCGAATTCTGTGGCTCTAGTGTGCTCAATCAATCCCTCTATTTCTGGTTGGAATTTACCTGACCACCTACTGCTGGTTGTTCATTGCCTTCTTGAACCCTGCCTCTAGTCACAGAGACCTAGGACACAACGCTGGGGAAGAGTGAGGCAAAGAAGGCACTGAGCACCTCAGCGTTAGCTGTTTCTGCAGTTCACCTGAGAAGGTCCACACTTCCCTTGTTCAGCCTTTTAGTTCTGCAAAAGCTGGTCTTTTCACCCTTGAGGTGCCTGAAGAGCATCCACTCTAGCTGAGTCTTGGCTTTCCTAAGGCTATCCAGACTTGCCAGGAAATGTTTCTAAATTTCTCCTTTGTAGCCTGTCCATGCTTCTGCCTTCTGTGTATTGTTTGATGGGTTGAAAGCCTTTTGAAAGTCTTGGGGATTATTAGTAATTTCCAAGGGCAATAGATTATTGAACTGCTTCTTGTGTATAAACCCACTTGGTGGCTATGCCTAATCTTCAGGACTGACCTTTAAAATTGTATCAATCCTTATTTCAGTTTATTTATTACAACAAAGTATAACATCTTAGTTGTTTACTTTCATAATTCCCCTGATTACCACTACAGCCTTTTAAATGTATTTCCTGTTTCGCTTTCACACACTGGCTATAATGAGATTTCACATTTTTTATAACATGTCAGACATTTCATATTTAATTTTTCAGAACTCATAGGTGTTTATCTGGACTTTTGGGGAATTTTTGTTTGTTTGTTTGTTTTAATTTTCAATTACAATTTAACCACTTATTCTCCTGATGTTCTAGTCTAGTAGTCTCACATTTTTCTTCCTCGGAAAGGGCATGTCTCCATCCTCTCACAGAAGACCAATATACCTGATTTCAGGAAAAGATTCATCTAGAAGCTCACCTTAGATGATCCCATATGTGTACTGATTCTTTGCAGGTTCCTAGCTACTTATCTTGTTGGAGAGGAATGCCATCTTGATGGAGAAAAAGGAGAGGATTTTGGAGTTTTTAATATTACAAAAAATAAAATTATCCCTTCCTTATATTCGCTATATATTATCTGCCTAGAATTTAGCTTTTGTTCAATGTTTTTCTAAGCCCATATGTCTGAATTTCAGTGGATTTCTTTTTAACTCAACTAACCTCCAAAGCCTTGCCGCTGAGCTCTGTTGAGTTCTTCTTTTCTTGCTTTTTGTTATGTTCAGAGGCATACATACCCTTTGAGATCCAATAACTGTTTCATTAAGTGCCATCCCTGGAACACCTAAGAAATTTTTTTTTCCCTTCCTGTAGGACCATTTTCACTTGCCTCTGTATTACCTGTTTCAGAAACACAACCTGGAATTTGATGAGTTCCCTACATTTGTGTTTGCATTTTCTGTGGCTGCGATGAGCTTTTACAACTTCCTGTTGCCTACATTAAGACAGCACTCAGATCTTTGATCTGTCCTTATATGTCATCTGCTAGATTTGTGCAGTTTATACATTGTTAAATTGAGCCAAGAAAGCTCAATTTAGGCAATAGGGATATTGCGGTAGTTATTTTGAAACTTCAGTGAACGCCATTAAAAAAACAAAAGTATGGGAGAGCAATCCTATAGGACAGGAAAATAAAGGCCAAGAGGTGAGGAGACTTTAAAGGCTTTTAATATACCTTTTTACATCCAAAGTAACGTTGACAAGCCATATTTGGGATGATTTAGAAAATTCTAAACTGGTTAATTTTTACTTAGAGAGAATGGATAAGACTAGTTAATTAATATGTAAAGTAGAGCAAATTTATTGGACTAAATGAAATGAACTGTGATGAAAAGATAGTTCATGAAACCACAACAGAAATCTTCCTATTGCTGAAAATAATGTAGGATGTGACTTGCTTTCTAAGATGGGCACACAGTTCAGTGTAGGAATACCACTAAAAAGCTGCTCGCCACTGTGTAACCGGATAGCAGTTAAAAGTGCTCAGCCCAGGTGCCTTGGGCTAGATTCAGAGAGTTCTAGTGCTGCGACTGGCTCCCCAGCAGTGGGGTGTGTGGTGGCACCACAGTGTCACAGGCGGTTGAACTTGCTGTGTGTGGCTCGAGGGAATGCAGTGCTCCCTTCTCTCTTTGTGTCTACTCAAAGGAGCTCTTGGCATTTGGCAGGAACCTCTTACTCCTTCTATTGTCCTCTTTTTATCCATTTTAATTTTTTCCACCCTTTCACTTCATATTCCTCCTTGTTTCATAAATCATAAAACCAATTTTTCAGTCTCACTTTGTCTTTTAAGAAAAAAAGGGAAAAAAACCCCAACAAACAACATAAGGAAGTGGCTTGACAGCTGTCTTTCTTTGTGTTGCCCTTTGCTTGCCTGCAGCTCCTTCCTCTTGAAAATGTGGCTTCAAGTCTCCTGTGTTTCTTTTCTTCCCCAACAATTAAGGTCTCTCCAGGATCTCTCAAGGCAGACAGATATTCCTTATGGCACTGTCTTGGACTCTGCAGTCTATGAGCACGTCCGAGTGAAAGGGATGAATCCTTTCGAGAGGGACAGCATGTATTCCCAAATGTGGCGGATGATTAACAGAAGTAATGGCTCAGAGAACAACGTCATGGAGTCAACCGCAGGCATTCAGAAGGTACTAGTATGACTTTATTTTGCCTCCCTTAAGAGATGATCTGCTGTAACACCACATTTGGTTAGTGATTGCTATTCACTACAAGGGGTGCATTTGCGCCCAGATAATGATCGTGCCTGGTACCATTTTCTGCAAGCCTATTGCATTGGCACAGAGGATTGGGACTTCTCAGCTACGTACCTTGTTTTCAACCCCTTTTAAAATGTAAGTACCTATAGTGATTGTTCTGAAAAGTGTTTATAGGTATGAGAGATGAATGCATTTTTCATGATGCAACATGGGATTAGGATCACTGGACTTATAACCTCAGAAGATGTGATACTGTACCGTACAAAACTTAAAGCACTTTGAATACAAGACATATTGATTAACTTAATCTTTGTAGACTCCTGACAGTGAAAACCTTGGCTTTCAGTTGTAGCTCTGAATCAGGTATGTTTTGAGAGAGGCAGGCAGAAAAAGATTATCTAGCTTTAAATGAGAGTCTCAGAGCCACCTTCTGTAGTGAGTTTCACAATAGGAAAACACTTTGAGAGCAATAGTCAATTTTTCTAGGTACATTTGTTAATGCAATAGTTCCCTCCCATGTCTTGGGTTGACAGATACAGCTTTTATAAGAACAGTAGTACAGGAAAGGGTTCGGTACAAGAATGAACATGGGTTAATGAGTGCCTGTATACAAACTTTATCCTTACAATTGCATCTTCATATTCAGAATTTTAAATCAAATCTGAGAAATACTGTATTTTATACATTTGATTTGAAACCACAAAATGTGAATACTAATTAGAGCAAAAATACATTGTTTTAAGCTTGGTTTAGAGACTTCCAAAAATCTGGACAAACTCCACTTTTTATCTCCACCAAAATTTATTTGGCAGGAAAACCTGCAATTTCTGGTGTTTTCACACTGCATAGAAACACGTAAGAGAAAAAAGTATGTTAACAGGAATGATGAAATCACTGGTGGTCTCTTGATAATAAAAGAACCGCAAAATAACAAAGATTTTTTTGAGTTTTAAAAATCAATATTCCACCCGCTATATAACTGAGATCATATTTTGTCCTCTGAAGGACTAAGCAGCATGAAAGAAGAGGTAAGAAAGGCCCTGGGGAACTGCACTTTTGAAACTTTAGAAAAAATCATAAGCTGAAAAAGCTAGAAAAGAAAGACAGTCTGAAGATTTATTGGCTAGAGGAAATTGGGTTTTTTGAGAAAACATATTTAACTCAGTTTGTAAGGGGCTGATAAAGTTGGGTTTCATCTTTTGTATTAAAAAAAAAAAAAGGAAGAAAGGAAAAAGCAGCCCTGGTTTTAGTTAGCCTTCCCAAGTTATATTAAAGGTTTCAGAAGAATCAAAAACCAGAACACGTCAAACACAGCTGTGTTGACTAATGGCTTTTAGCTGAAAAAAACTACCAGTGTATCATGCTGGCAGATAATTCCAGATTACGGTCTGATTTCTCATTCCTGGAAATACGACAGTTGCTGTCTTAAAACCTACAAACCCAGAAATATCTGGGTTATTTAACTTGCCATGCCTCTGCTTCCCAGGAACAAATGCTTGCTAATGATAGTGTTGAAAATCCAAGTTGCAGCATGTGAGCAAGCCAAGCACCCTCCAATTAAAAAATATTGAAGAGCTCAGGCCCGTTCCTAATGAAGATACACATCCACCTATGTGCGTGCAGTTTCTCCCCTTCTTTCATCTTGCAGGAAGAAATGACACTGAAAAAGATCATTTGCCAGTTGCTGTTCACACAGAAGCTTTTGGAATATTTGGCCTACTCAGGAAGAATGAATGTGATGCTAAAAGCTGGTTTTAGGCATGGAAGATTAATAATTTAAAAGGTTGCTGAAAAAAGGCAGAGATTATAATCTCTGAACTGTACTTCAAAAAAAGTAAAACCTTTCACAGGAAAGAATTCATGGGTCCCCCCAGCCTATTCATATACTTCGTAATGTTCTTCAAGGTCTTGAACAAATTTAACTGGCCACATCAGAGCCATTAACTCGATCAGGCTATGACACTGGAGAAACTAAGCCAACAGGTCTCCCTCTGTGCTTCATTTTGTTTCTACCATCCATCTGCTACAGCATAACTGAGCAGCAGTTTGCCCAAGCTCTCTGAGGCTGTTACCTCGGCACACGTTCCTGGAGTGCTAAGTGAGTGCTGAGACTTAACGAGTGCTTCCAGATGGGTACAGGGAAAGGGATTTCCACTAGGCTGCCTAATAACCATGAAGGGAGTGTGTTAGGAGCGACCACCATGGGAGAGAAATGTGCAGGAAGGTTGTTACGGATGGGATGGACCTGCTCTCCTTTAACAACACTACCTACTGCACCCTCTGTGAGGTTAAATGGGGTTTGCAAGTAGCCATCATGTAAGATGCTTTGCCAAATATTTTTGTTATTTCTTAAAAATCCTTTAGTTTTGTCTTTCTTTTATTCTGCAAATTATAGTGGAGCTGGCATTCGTTATTTTGAGGAAAGTAGCAGTTTAATACTAATGTATATGTAAACAGGGGGAAGGGAGGGGAGGAGAGGGGTGGGGATTGACTGCTGATGTACTTGTCACATCATCCTGCTCACTCAGCAGGACCCTGTGCTTGCTGTACGAGTGGCTTCATGGGGAATGGCGCCTGTTTGAGTGAAAATACAATGCAGCCAAATGACAGTGATTGTGTTAGTCCCATTTTGCATCAGGCAATCTACCACTTTGACCAAATTTTCCTGGCAGGAGGGCAGGGCAGGCAAGAGTAATAAATGGAAAGGTCATGCCATTGTAAGTTTTCAGGTTTTTATATTTATTGGTCCTGTTCTTCCCATAAATCAGGTGCATACATATCTGCGTGTGCTCCTATTCTATTCATAGTGAACAGCTATAGACACCATCAGGTCTAGTGAGAGAGATGCTGGCTGGATTTACCCTGAAGAGAGAGCAAAGTTTTAAATACCTTAAACAGGAGACAGCCTGAAAAATGCAGGCATTTTAGATATTTTTTGTCACTTATTGTCTCTTCCTTTCTCAAAAGGCAACAAAAAACTGTTGAAGAGCTGAACTGAAGGTAGGGAAGCATTCAGTTGTTTGTCTTCCTGCTCTGTTAAATCAAAGTGGATGGAGAGGTGGCTGTATTTCTATATATGCTTGGATTAGTCTGTAGAATATTCACTTTTCTCTTCATTTTTATATATTATTTCTAAATGTTCCATGTTTTTCAAATCGATTTTCCTTTTTTGCATAGGTTATGAAATATGCATCTCATTCTGTCAAAGGAATCTCTATTTTCACAGAAGTTATTTATTCAGGAGGGATTTACAGAGGCCTAAGTCATGCCTGCTTAAACATTCATTGAGGACTCCAAGAAAAATCATTTAGGCTTAAACATATCACATTACATACCTCTTTATGTCTTCTTAAAAAGCACATTACCCTGCTTAATCCTTTACAAGCACCACAGGCTTTCCTATCCTTGGAACTATTCCCATTTAAAATATAATGAAGTGCTTCCATTGTGCCCCTGTCTGCTCTTTCTTCCCTAGAGTATAATAGTGCCTAATGCCCTATCCTACCCACCTTGTTCCTCTGAAAGTGATACCATAGCCTACAGCGTCTACATTTTTCTCAGCAGTACAAAGTGGAAAATTCCTTTCCCAGGCTGCATAAGCAGAATCTGAATGCGTTAGAAACCTCTACTTAACTCTATCTGCAAAATATTTAGCCGGTAGGAAACTTGTGAATGACTATCAAGTGAAATAATGCTTCTGGATGGTGCATTAAAAGAAACTCCTCTTAGGCTCCCATAATATTTCCTCTTCAACTTGCACACAGTATCAAAAGGAATTTGATCTTGAGATTTTGATTTTCCTGTGATCCTATGTGCATTCCCAGTGGAAACATGCTAGCAACCATTGAGTCAGCTTGTTTTCCCTCTACACTGTGGATGGCACTTTTCACCTTACTGAGAATCCTGTAATAGTAGTAATATTTTTTTAAACTATCTATGAATAGACTATAATAAAGCTTTGCTGAAGTGATATGTTGGAGAAGAAAGGGGTAATAATGATTTGCAATTCTGTGCTAGAACAAATTGTTAATAACTGGACATGGTTGTGTGCTGGGTTCAGCCAGG